GACTGGTGTGGGTCGCATCCTGGGGGACAAGATTAAGGACCCCAATGGAAATAGTTAGACAGTCCTCGATGACGCACTGACTTTCTTGGGTTATCCTGGTGGCTAACCCTCCGGGGTTAAAAATCCGAACGAAATCTTATCTTTCTCTTATCTTATCTCTTGCTCTTTGCTGATGACAATGTGCTCTTGGGAGATTCTGAAGAGAAGTTGCAGAGATTGGTGGATGAATTTGGAAGGGTGTGCAAAAGAAGAAAATTAAAAGTGAATACAGGAAAGAGTAAGGTTATGAGGATAACAAAAATATTAGGTGATGAAAGATTGGATATCAGATTGGAGGGAGAGAGTATGGAGGAGGTGAATGTATTCAGATATTTGGGAGTGGACGTGTCAGCGGATGGGTCTATGAAGGATGAGGTGAATCATAGAATTGATGAGGGGAAAAGGGTGAGTGGTGCACTTAGGAGTCTGTGGAGACAAAGAACTTTGTCCTTGGAGGCAAAGAGGGGAATGTATGAGAGTATAGTTTTACCAACGCTCTTATATGGGTGTGAAGCATGGGTGATGAATGTTGCAGCGAGGAGAAGGCTGGAGGCAGTGGAGATGTCATGTCTGAGGGCAATGTGTGGTGTGAATATAATGCAGAGAATTCGTAGTTTGGAAGTTAGGAGGAGGTGCGGGATTACCAAAACTGTTGTCCAGAGGGCTGAGGAAGGGTTGCTGAGGTGGTTCGGACATGTAGAGAGAATGGAGCGAAACAGAATGACTTCAAGAGTGTATCAGTCTGTAGTGGAAGGAAGGCGGGGTAGGGGTCGGCCTAGGAAAGGTTGGAGGGAGGGGGTAAAGGAGGTTTTGTGTGCGAGGGGCTTGGACTTCCAGCAGGCGTGCGTGAGCGTGTTTGATAGGAGTGAATGGAGTCGAATGGTTTTTAATACTTTACGTGCTGTTGGAGTGTGAGGAAAGTAACATTTATGAAGGGGTTCAGGGAAACCGGCAGGCCGGACTTGAGTCCTGGAGATGGGAAGTACAGTGCCTGCACTCTGAAGGAGGGGTGTTAATGTTGCAGTTTAAAAACTGTAGTGTAAAGAACCCTTCTGGCAAACCAACCCTTCTGGCAAGACAGTGATGGAGTGAATGATGGTGAAAGTTTTTCTTTTTCGGGCCACCCTGCCTTGGTGGGAATCGGCCAGTGTGATAATAAAAAAAAATCAAAATTGTATGTCATCCTCATAGCACTTCTTCGTATTACATATATATCTCCTTCGACGTTCGTGATTATTTCAGATTTCCTCAGTGCTTTACAATTCGACTCCCCTCATACATTAGTCCTCCATATTCAACAATGGTTACACCGCGTGGCTAGCAAGAATGAAGGAGTCGTTTTCTGCTGGGTCCCTGGTCACGTTGGTGTGCAGGGCAATGAGCAGGCAGATGCTGCTTTGTGGTCGGTGGTGCATGTTCTCCCGGTTTCTTATAAGGGTATTCCATACAGGGACTATTTTCCAGTCATCTCTGCCCATCTCCGCTGCCGTTGGCAACAACGGTGGTCGGGCATACGCCGTAACACATTGCGTTCTGTTAAACCACTTTTAGGTTTGTGGCCATCTTCCCACCACCATTGCCGTTCTCGGGAGACTGCACTCTCCCAGTTCTGCATTGGTCATACACGCCTTACCCATGGGTATCTCATGGATAGATGCAGTGTTCCTCTCTGTGAGGCTTGTCAGACGTCCCTATTTCGGTTCTTCATTTCCTTGTCGATTGCCCGATTTGCCAGCGAGTTCGCAGGATTTACCTCCAATGCCGCCGCTGCTCTACCATTCTTATTTTATCTTCTTTACTTGCAGACGACCTCACCTTTGACTCCCAAGCACTTTTTGACTTTTTGTCAGCAACTACATTATTATACGAACTTTGACATATAGCACTTAGCGTCCCTTCCACTCCTTTTCTTCCCTCACCTCTGATCCCCTCTCCACCTACCTGATTATAACCTCTGCACTACATACTGCCTCGCAGCACTGTATGACAGTTGTCGGTTTAGTGCTTTCTATGAATATAATAATAATAATAATAATAATAATAATAATAATAATAATAATAATAATAATAATAATAATACATAGTGTTATCAGAGAGAGAAAAGGACCTGGTTATCTCTATCCATGCTATCTTCTGCGTCCCCTCAAGGGAGGTTCCATGACGCTGGTGAGGAGCTCTTGTTCTAGAGAATTGGAGCCTGAATACCTTCCATCGCCCCAAAAGGGCTGTATAATCCTACAGGTTTAGCGTTCTCCCATGATTTTAATAATAATATCCTCTGCATCCTATCTGCCCTCATCCTTTTAAATTTGTTCGAGTTGAATTCAATAAATGATTTAGTTTGACCACATCTGCAGTCTGTTGAAGTCTCTCTGGAGTTTATACCGATCCATTTTAGTTCTTATACATCGTATTAGTTTTGCATCATCGGCAGAGTTATACAGATTTACACCAGAACTCCATCAGTTCTGGTAGGTGGTTCATATATATTAGAATTGTAGCCCTCCTAATACTGATGCTTGTGGAATTTCATTTGTTTTTGCCTTCATTCTGATGTTTTCATTATTGTTACTTTCTGCTGTCTGTCATTCAGGTTCTCCTTGACCCAGTGGAGCAACTTGGATTTTAACCCTTCCTGTTCCTCTTATTTTTATATTAACCTCTGGCGTAGAATTGTATCAAATGTTTTCCCACAGTCCAGTAAATCGTAATCTATTCAACTATGTGTTCTTGTTTTACTTCTGTGACTCTGTCATTGAACCTCAGCATATTTGTAAGACAGGATTTTCCATCACTGAATTTATGATGCTTTTCATTAAAGAATATTCTCAAGTACTTCAGTATTTTTTCCATTCTTTCTTCCTTCTCCATAACATCCGACAAAATGTATATTAGAGAACTAGGCTGCAATTCAGTGTCTCTTGCCTATTCTCCATTCTATATTTGAAACGACATTTGCCTTTTCTTCAAATTTCTGGAACTTGTACTGATCAGAGACTGGTCGTACACTTTGCTTGTGAGTCACCCAGCAATTCCACTCCTTTAAGCATCCATGAAGATGTTATCTTGTCCCGTTGTTGTCGTTACATCAAGTTCTCTTAGTAATCTCATCACTTCATCTTGTTATGCTGATGCTTTCTACCTCTTATTGTTTTGGTCTGATGATGATATTTTCCAGTATCTCTTTACTGTTAATAACAAAAAAGGCAAGACACATGTGCAACATCTGGATATCTTTATTGTAGACCTTTCGCCATCCAGTGGCTTTATCAATACAGATTCTAGAACATAACTAAAGACAATAGAACTATATACAAAAGATGAGGTAATCAGTCCGTCAGCCTTGGAGTTAGTGTTCACAGCATCGTGGTGGAGGAGAATCTGCAGCAAAGGCAAGAAGACTGGCGATTATATAGCGTCAGTGGATAAGGACGTGTAGCAGACGAGGGCATAGTCACTGGTAGGCGGGATTCCCCAGTGGAAGTAGGTCCTACCTAAAGAGATGGGTTAGTTGTAGCAGCCGTGACGAAGGTCTTGTAGATGTCCTGTGAACCAAGATTCCATGATGTTACAGTGTCTGACAAGTCTTAACTTTCATATTGTCGGTATTGTATACTATTCTTGCACAGCTTGTCAGACACTGCAACATCATGGAAACTTGATTCTGAGGACATGTACATAACCTTCACGACTACGACAACTACTACTACAACTAACCCATCTCTTTAGGTAGGACCTACTTCCACTGGGGAATCCCGCCTACCCTCGTCTGCTACACGTCCTTATCCACTGACGCCTATATAACCGCCAGTCTTCTTGCCTTTGCTCCAGATTCTCCTCCACCACGATGCTGTGAACGCTAATTCCAGACTGAGGGACTGATTACCTCATCTTTTGTATATAGTTCTACTGTCTTTAGTTATGTTCTAGAATCTGTATTGATAAAGCCACTGGATGGCGAAACGTCTACAATAAAGATATCCAGATGTTGCACATGTGTCTTAACTCTCATATTGTCGGTATTTTATACCTTTCTTGTACAACAAAAAAGGCACAATACCGTGACTGGAACGATTCACAAATAACCCGCACATAAAAGAGAGGAGCTGACGACGACGTTTCTGTCCGACTTGGACCATTTACAAAGTCACACTATTATTTTCTGAAAAGACCTCATAGAATCTTTGAATAAGTTTTGATATAATTATCTGCTGCTCTCCATTAGTGTTCCATCTTCCTACTCCAGCCTTATAACTTGCCTCTTCAAATGTGTCTTTATTTTTATTTTGTTGTTGCTATATCATTTTCAAATTTCATTTCAGTTTCTTTTTTCTGGTGTTGCATACACAAAGATGGGTCTGACATATGTCGTATGTAGTGTCGTAAATGGCATTTTTTTTGTATGGAGTGTCGTAAAAGGTACTTATTGGATTTCCCAATGTATATTTGCTGCAGAGGTTATTTGGCTGTGTTCCTCTGGTAATATGGTCGGTAGTATGCTTTCCATGAGGACCTGTTCTTGGATTAAGTTCTACACTCTTTGTGCCTTAACCTGTACTCAATTTCCGATCACAATTTGCCCTTTCTAAATTTTTAAAATATATTTCATGAGGGTGAATTCTAATAAAGAACTGTCAGAACAACCAGGAACTTTGTCTGGACCCTTTTCAGCCATAGGCCTTTTCATCTTATGGTAAGTACAGGTTTCCTGTCGAATGATATGTGAATAAATGTCAGTGGATTTTAGCATTAGACCAAGATTAATGGTTAACACCTTGTTCATTGTTGACTGTTCAGGTTAGCAATACCCATTCCGTTGAGAACTTCGAAACCTAGTTGATCAGAAGATATCACAGAAACCTCTCATTTTTTATAGTTTCCTGTCATATTATCTGCTATCCTGAATGAAATCAAGCTTAATAATATTCTTTCATAATAAAAAAGGATATTTGTACTAACAGAATACCTGGCACTGAAGTAACTCTGCATCCCGGCGACGTGGTGACTGTCCCGTTCTGGAGTCTGCACCACGACCCTCGCTACTGGCCACAACCCGAGGAGTTTCAGCCAGACCGCTTCCTGCCGGAAAACAAATCCAACTCCCCCAGCTTCACTCACATACCCTTTGGAATGGGACCTAAAAAACTGCATAGGTAAGATTAATCACTTATATTTTTTGAAGACACACACACACACATACACACACACACACACACACACACACACACACACACACACACACACACACACACACACACACACACACACAAAACACACACACACACACACGCACGCACACACACACATACACACACACATGCATACGCACACATAATAGCACTCACAGAAACAAAACTCACCAGAATAATAACAGATTAAAATCTTTCCTCCGGATATCAAATCCTCAGGAAAGACAGAGGGAGGAGAGGGGGGGAGGAGTTGAAACTGCTCATTAAAAACCAGTGGGGTTTTGAGAAAATGAAGGAATGGATGGCACGGGCGAAAGGGACTACTTAGTAGGAACTATCCAGTCTGAGGGACATAAGGTGATAATTGCAGTAATGTACAACCCCCCACAGAACTGCAGGCGGCCAAAAGAAGAATATGATGAGAGCAACGAGCAATGATCGACCACAAAGCCGAGGTGGCCAGGAAGCCCCACATGGGGGGAGAAAAAGTTACTAGTTATGGGTGATTTCAACCCACAAGGAGATTGACTGGGAAAACCTTGAGCCCCATGGGGGTTCCGAAACATGGAGAGCCAATATGATGGATGTGGTACTGGAAAACTCATGCTCAACATGTTAGAGGACACTACCAGAGAGAGAGGAGAGGATGAACCAGCAAGGCTGGACCTTGTATTCACCTTGAGTAGTTCGGACATCGAGGGTATCATGTATGAAAAAGGGCCCCTGGGGGCTAGTGATCATGTGGTTCTGTGCTTCGACTACATAGTTGAGCTCCAAGGGAGAGAGTAGTAGGAATAGGCTGGAAAAAAAACAAACTCAAAAGGGGGAAAATACTCAGCATGAGGAACTTCCTTCAAGACATTCAGTGGGAGAGGGAACTGACAGGAAAACCCGTACAAGAAATGATGGACTATGTCACAAAAAAATGAAAGGAGGCAGAGGAGAGGTTTGTTCCCAAGGGAAACAGAAATATGGGAAAAACAGAACGAGTCCTTGGTTCACCCAAAGGTGTAGGGAGGCAAAAAAAGGGGTACTAGAGAATGGAAAAGGTACAGAAGACAGAGAACTCAGGAAAATAAAGAAATCAGCCGAAGAGCCAGAAACGAATATGCACAGAAAAAAAGGGAGGCTCAGAGACAATATGAAAATGATATGCATCAAAGTAAAGACTGACCCGAAGCTGTTGTACAGCAACATCAGGAGGAAACAAAAAGTCAAGGACCAGGTAATCAGACTGAGGAAGGGTGATGGGGAATTCACAAGAAACGATCAAGAGGTATGTCATGAGCTCAACACAAGATTTAAAGAGGTATTTACAGTGGAAACCAGTAGGACTCCAGGAAATCAGAACAGGGGGGCACACCAGCAAGTGCTGGATGAGGTACATATAACCAAGGAGGAGGTGAAGAAGCTGCTATGCGAACTTGACACCTCAAAGGCGGTGGGACCAGACAACATCTCTCCATGGGTCCTTAAAGAGGGAGCAGAGATATTGTGTGAGCCATTAACAAAGATCTTCAACACATCATTTGAAACTGGGCAACTCCCTGAGGTATGGAAAATGGCATATGTAGTCCCAATTTTTAAAAAGGGAGACAAGAAGTTACTGCAAAAGCTAGAGGATCAGGCACACTTAACAGGAAAGGCACTGCAATGGATTAGAGAATATCTGACAGGGAGGCACAACGAGCATGGTACGCGACGAGGTGTCAGAGTGGGCGCCTGTGACAAGCGGGGTTAAACAAGGGTCAGTCCTAGAACCTGTGCTGTTCTTGGTATATGTGAACGACATAACGGAAGGGATAGACTCAGAAGTGTCCTTGTTTGCAGATGATGCGAAGTTAATGAGAAGAATCAAATCGGATGAGGATCAGGCAGAACTACAAAGAGACCTGGACAGGCTACAAGCCTGGTCCAGCAACTGGCTCCTTGATTTTAACCCTGCCAAATGCAAAGTCATGAAGATTGGGGAAGGGCAAAGAAGACCGCAGACACAATATAGTTTAGATGGCCAAAGACTGCAAACCTCACTCAAGGAAAAAGATCTCGGGGTGAGTATAACACCGAGCATATCTCCTGAGGCGCACATCAATCACATAACTGCTGCAGCATACGGGCGCCTGGCAAACCTACGGATAGCGTTCCGATACCTCAGTAAGGATCCCTTTAAGACTCTGTATACCATTTACGTCAGGCCCATACTGGAGTATGCAGCACCAGTTTGGAATCCACACCTAGTCAAGCACGTCAAGAGCTACGGGGATTGTCCTACGAAGAAAGGTTGAGGGAAATCGGCCTGACGACACTGGAGGACAGGAGGGTCAGGGCAGACATATTAACGACATATAAAATACTGTGCGGAATAGACAAGGTGGACAAAGACGGGATGTTCCAGAGAAGGGACACAGACACAAGAGGCCACAATTGTAAGTTGAAGACTCAGATGAATCAAAGGGATGTTAGGAAGTATTTCTTCAGTCATAGAGTAGTCAGGCCGTGGAATAGCCTAGAAAGTGACGTAGTGGAGGCGGGAACCATACATAGTTTTAAGGCGAGGTATGATAGAGCTCATGGGGCAGGGAGAGAGAGGACCTAGTAGCAATCAGCGAAGAGGCGGGGCCAGGAGCTGTGAATCGACCCTTGCAACCACAAATAGGTGAGTACAAATAGGTGAGTACAAATAGGTGAGTACACATGCTCATACACACACACACACACACACACACACACACACACACACACACACACACACACACACACACACACACACACACACATTTTTAAAAAAGGAGACAGAAAAGAGGCACTAAACTATAGACCTGTGTCATTGACGTGTATAGTATGCAAAATTATGGAGAAGATTATCAGGAGGAGAGTGGTGGAGCACCTGGAACGGAACAAGAGTATAAATGCCAACCAGCACGGATTCACGGAAGGCAAATCTTGTGTCAAACCTTCTGGAGTTTCACGATAAAATAACAGAAGTAAGACACGAGAGAGAGGGGTGGGTTGATTGCATCTTCTTGGACTGCAAGAAGGCCTTTGACACAGTTCCTCACAAGAGATTAGTGCAGAAGCTAGAGCATCAGGCGCATATAACAGGAAGGGCACTGCAATGGATCAGAGAATACCTGACAGGGAGGCAACAACGAGTCATGGTACGTAAAGATGTATCACAGTGGGCACCTGTGACGAGCGGGGTCCCACAGGGGTCGGTCATAGGACCAGTGCTATTTTTGGTATATGTGAACGACATGATGGAAGGGTTAGACTCAGAAGTGTCCCTGTTTGCAGATGATGTGAAGTTAATGAGGAGAATTAAATCTGATGAGGACCAGGCAGGACTTCAAGAGACCTGGACAGACTGGACACCTGGTCCAGCAAATGGCTTCTCGAATTTAATCCTGCCAAATGCAAAGTCATGAAGATAGGGGAAGGGCACAGAAGACCACAGACAGAGTATAGGCTAGGTGGCCAAAGACTGCAAACCTCACTCAAGGAGAAAAATCTTGGGGTGAGTATAACACCCAGCATGTCTCCGGAAGCACACATCAATCAGATAACTGCTGCAGCATATGGGCGCTGGCAAACCTGAGAACAGCATTCCGATACCTTAGTAAGGAATCATTCAAGACACTGTACACCGTGTATGTCAGGCCCATACTGGAGTATGCAGCACCTGTTTGGAACCCGCACTTGATAAAGCACGTCAAGAAACTAGAGAAAGTACAAAGGTTTGCGACAAGGTTAGTTCCAGAGCTAAGGGGAATGTCCTATGAAGAAAGATTAAGGGAAATCGGCCTGACGACACTGGAGGAGAGGAGGGTCAGGGGAGACATGATAACGACATATAAAATACTGCGTGGAATGGACAAGGTGGACAAAGACAGGATGTTCCAGGGAGGGGACACAGAAACAAGAGGCCACAATTGGAAGTTGAAGACACAAATGAGTCAGAGAGATAGTAGGAAGTATTTCTTCAGTCATAGAGTTGTAAGGCAGTGGAATAGCCTAGAAAATGACGTAGTGGAGGCAGGAACCATACACAGTTTTAAGACGAGGTTTGATAAAGCTCATGGAGCGAGGAGAGAGAGGGCCCAGTAGCAACCGGTGAAGAGGCGGGGCCAGGAGTTAAGACTCGACCCCTGCAACCACAAATAGGTGAGTACATGATCACATACACTGGTTATGGGTGATTTCAACCATAGGGATATTGACTGGGAAAACCTGGAGCCTCATGGGGTCCTGACACATGGAGAGCGAAGATGATGGATGTGGTACTGGAAAACCTCATGCATCAACACGTCAGGGACACTACCAGAGAGAGAGGGGAGGATGAACCAGCAAGACTGGGCCTTGTGTTCACCCTGAGCAGTTCAGACATTGAGGACATCAAATATGAGAGGCCTCTTGGAGCTAGCGATCAAGTGGTTCTGAGTTTTGATTACATTGTAGAGCTGCACGTGGAGAGGGTAACAGGAGTAGACTGGGAAAAGCCAAACTATAAAACGGGGGACTACACAGGTGTGAGGAGCTTCCTGCGGGAGGTTCAGAGGGACAGAGAACTGGTAGGAAAGTCAGTAAACGAAATGATGGAATATGTAACAACAAAATGCAAGGAGGTAGAGGAAAGGTTTGTTCTTAAGGGCAACAGAATTAATGGGAAGACCAAAGTGAGTCCTTGGTTTACCCGAAAGTGTAGGGAGTCAAAAACTAAGTGCATTAGAGAATGAAAGAGGTGCAGAAGGCAAAGGACACAAGAAAATAAGGAGATCAGTCGAAGAGCCAGAAACGAGTATACAGAGATAAGGAGTGAGGCCCAGAGACAGTATGAACATAGCATCAAAAGTCAAGTCTGACCCGAAATTGCTGTATAGCCACATTAGGAGAAAGACAACAGCCAAAGACCAGGTGATCAGGCTGAGGAAAGAAGGTGGGGAACTCACACGAAACGATCAAGAGTT